CCCCAAAACCCCAAAACCCCAAAACCCCATGCACGAAATTAAAGCTAATAGGTCATAGAAATTAAATTTATAACTATTGATAAATCAAGCGTGTAGTTCTGGTGGATTAATGTACACGCCAGCATTAAAGGAAGCATTTGCAAACGCCCCTAAATTACTTATTTTCCTAAAGTAAGTCTTGTCTATTTTTCTCTGATTATTAAAAACACTATAGACTTAATAAAAACTATACTTACTCAGATGTATAATATGCATGATTTGTTGAAGTTAAGCTTTTATTCATTGATATGCTTTTCTTTGAACTCTAAATGTCAATCTGTAATGGCTCATTTATGGAGGTATTATTTTCACTTTCTTAAAAATTACTCTTTAGATTGCTCTTCAATCTTAGCATTCTCTATTAAGATCTATAATTTTTTAGAATTTCAATATTTTCATTGTGCATTTTGTTGCCAAGCATATATTTCAATCTATCTTTCTCAATTTTCTTAAGGATTTTTTGCTGTCTATCAAAATTCGCTAAGCTGCCAAATTTCTTTTCTATTTTATCATTGAAATCTACTCTCCAAGGTCTCGTTTTTTGAATACTAAAAGAACTATCATTGGATTACTAATCTAATGTATTGCTAATATTCGGTTAAGCTGAATTTTCACGAGGAAGTGAGATTAACATTGATTGATGATTTTTTTAATATCTGTCTCGAATCACTGCATTGCTTAGGTTTTATGCAAGAGCAGGTGATATATTTTCATATGACTTGTCCTTTGCCTATTTATTGTAATCATAAAATGTACCTTTAAAAAGTCCTATTTATTTCATTTCAATACTTGTATCATGAGCAATTCTCTATTTATTTGGACCAAAAGTTCTTGGCAAGATTTTAGCACTATAAAAGTGTTGCTCATTTTGAATTTGCATGTGAGCAACTTAAAAAATCTTCATTGCCTCTGATCTACCCTCATTACTCAATATCATGTCATACATGCATCTGAAGCAGGCAATATTTGCCAAAGACTCTTAAGCAATATCAATTTCTCTTTAATTAACCATGTCTTTTACTTTACTATTCATTTTCCCTCTAATCCTATTCATTACCTTATCAATTTCTCCCCTCTCTTAGAAATATGACTCTAGTTTTTTGGAGATTTTCACATCACTTTCAGTCATAAATTTTTCGCATATCAAGCATTAGTGCTGGAGGTTATTGTAAACATTATCTAAAACAATTTCTTGCTTATCTAAATCGATAACTGCATCATTAAGATCGTTTTCTTTTTCCGCATTTTGAGTATGTATTTGCAGAGGTTATTTTTCATTTTGCTCAATTTTTACCTCAGTTTTAGATTGCTGTTCATCAGCAGCTTCCTTTATGATCTCAAATTTGTTCAGTTGCTGCAAATTTGAAATATTTAGTTATTGCCCTCCTACTCTCAATCTTGCTCTTCTTAAACCTAAAAGTTTTTCGATACTGATTGATTATTACCATTTAATGCGATCTATATTTATTTCGATTTCTAAGATCTCAGACTTTTTAAATCATCATCTAGCTGACCAAGTTTATCTTTTACTTATTATTTGTTTTTTTCAATGTTAAATTGAGTAGATCTTCCATTATCAATCTAAGAGCGACTTTCATTAATGGACCTATGAATATAGAACTAAAATTTCGAATTACTATTTCAAATGAGATCTTTAATAAATTATAGATTTAGAGGTCTTTGACTTCTGTGAAAGTATTTCATGAATCAGTTGATCATCCATGTTGGAATAAAAGTTTAATTAAATTAAACAGCGACTTAATTCAAGATTAAGACTAAATATCAACTATAATCATTAATTTAACTTCATTCACTTATTTATAATTTCAACTTGCTTTAAGACAGTCTTCCATCATTCAATCCTAGGCTTTTAATTCATAGTAAGTGTTAGATTTAGGATCATAGTAGCATTAAAGGATTGGATCGAATATCACCTCCAAAAGATCTCCATCTTCGTTTTCTACTGTGGCATTTTATGGCATATCCTGTTTATAATTGCTTTTAGGTACAGTTTAATCAAGACTGTCGCGTAAGATGTCAGCTCTTTGAACCTTCAAAAAATCAAGCTTTCTCTTGAAGTCAACTGACTAAACAATATAAGTATCTTCATCATGATGCTACTCATAATCCTGATGCTCCAAGACTATTTCATCATCCTATTAATCTATAACTGTATGTATCTCTGTTGCATCTCTTTAAAGCAATGAGTCCTAAACTTGGAATGGAGGACTAAATGGTCTTCTCTCCTCCTTTCTGGATGATTCTAGTCGGATATAACTTTGAGTAATCTCTTTATCAATATTTTATACATTCATAGTTCTTTCCTTCTCTTGAGTTTCTATTCCATTAACCTAGTCTTAAATTTCATCCTCATCTTCATTATTAAGCTCAAATTCAATATACATAGGATTCTCTTTGAATTCCTTTGATTTCCTATCTTTTAGGGATTTTTAATAGCTTGCTTAGTTTTTGTCATCAAAGTTCATAAGATTGTTGTTTATCATGTCGAATGCTTCCTCAATCATGTCATCGTCTTCTTCCTTTTGCATTGTTCCCCAGGATTCTAGATTTAGATGCTTCATTTGATTATTAGTGAACCTCCTGAACCCATCCTAGTCAATTTCCTCTTCTTCCTCTTTCTTTTAATCTTACTTTAGCTTTACTCTATTGTTTGTCGCAACTTTACTATTTAGCTTACTTTTTTGACGATTTTTACTCAATTCTGGGCTTTTGATATCTTCAAGTTGCTTGCTATCAATACCATTCAAATCCTATTTATTATACTTTGACTCTATGTTTTATACTTATTTTCTCATTTGCTATACTTTTTACTCTTGCTATCTAAGTTAATAATCATTCATTTCCTACTAAACTCGAATATCAATCTGTTATCTTTAATCTCTTTCTGATTCAATTGGCGAGTAAAAATCTTCTTCATTTTTTTCTTCCAATTGATAGTTTACTTTTTTCTTCAAAGATGAAGATTCCTTTATTAATGAATTTTGTTAATGATTTTATTTAATATTAGATTTAGAAGCAGTTCCTATAAGATTGCTTGTCTTCTATGTAGTTAAATCATGATTTTTGCGGCCCATCTTATCCCAAGGATTGTTATCTTTTTTGCTGATTGTCTATACTTTTTATTCTTCATCCGAATCATTTTAAAGATACAAGAAATGTTCTCCCTCTTTAAGCTCCTCTTTCGTCACATATTGTCTAGAGGCTTCTTAATTATTAAAAGTATTATTTTCATTATTATCGAAATCGTTCTAATACTCATTAAAGCCTTCCTCTTCTTCAATAGCATCGATATTCTAATCTTAATATTCTTGCTGGTCCTCCTATTAACTTAACTTCCTATCAGTTGCATTCCTGCTAGACTTTTAGTTTGTTTTGGACTCAAAATCATCATCTTAATCATTTTATACTTACATTAAATCTTTGTTTTTATTAATTTTAGTCCCGGTGATGACAGACTGCTACTGCATATTTCTTTGATTAGTATTAGCAGTAGTCGGTTATTTAGACAATGGCTTTTAGCCTTGAGGAGGTTCTTACTTCTTTAACATTCTTTGTCCAAATGCTAGTTGCACTTTCTGCTCTTTTGAAGCATTATTATTTCCTATATTTATATTTTCATCATGAGCTTGAGTTTTCTATCTTAGTCTGTGGGGGAATATCAATTGATTATAATGTATGAAATTTTGAGGAAATTCCAGATTCTAGGGTGCATACACAAAAGGCATGTTATCTCTGAGCTCTTCAGCCATCATAAGATTTATCAATTATTATAATTCAAGATCCTCCTCTGTCTAATCATCATATAATGGATTTTTCATTGTGAAAATTCTTCTTAACTTGCAAGATGCAGTAATGATCAAAAGATCAATGGATCTGAAGTTCACGCCTTTAAAACAATGATGAGTAAAAGTATGAATGTCAATAGCCAAGTTAGTCCACTAGTTTCTTCTAAAATTCGTGATTGGAATTCTAGCATGAAGAGGATTAGCTACCAGTTCTTTTGCTCCAGTATGGAATATCAGCCTTCTTCTAGTCTACAAAAGTATTTATAAACTTAAAATTGTACCTTGGTCGAATCAGTGATGCCAACTTCAATATGAATGTTTTTTCCTAAAGGAATGAAAATCTACAAAACTAAAAATGGCTGAATTAAGCCAAGTAATTCTTTTTCATCCTTGGGAAGTTAAATTTTTGACGATCCCTCCACTGTAAAAATAAAACTTTTCATATTGCTATCAAAGGTCTTGGGGATTGAACCGGTAGTCTTCCATTTTTCTAAGGGATTCTTGCCTGATACTGAGAAAATTTCAACTGCTGGCCCTCCATGAAAAGCATGCTTGAACATTTTAAATTTAAAAATAATGCATATATTATTAACTTTATATAGTTAAAAAGTTTTAAGTAAAGTAACAACTCAATAGTAAAAGGGTTATTATCATTAACCAAACATACTACTTAAGGATTAATTATCCTTTATAATCACTCAATGCTTGTTCTTTTTATCCTTTTTCTCCTTCTTGTCCTTTTTGTTTTTATCAATAAGAGGCTTAGACTCATCATCATCCTTGGACTCCTCATGAATTTCTTCTCCTTCACCACCTGCATTTTTGTTGCCGCTGTTACCTGCTTTCTTGTCTTTATATTCTTGGTACTTTAGCTTGAGAACTTCTCTTTCTTGAACGACGATTCCGCAGAGAGCTACAATTACATAGAAACTCAAATAAATATAAAAAGCATCAGGCATCTAAAAATTAGGAATTATCAAGAGACAAAAAGCTTACTGATGCATATCCACCATTTTAGATCTCCAAGTAGACAAGATATTCATTAGGAAATCCACCAATGAATATTCCGAATGCCTTTAGTTAATTTAAAATGAAATAATGTTACTCTGATTAAGGCATAAGCTCCAACAACACTTGATCCAATAGCAATAGCGTGATTCATGATGTAGAGAGCTAAGAGAACTCCGATAATGATGAATAACAATATTAGGAACCAAAAAACAAATTGGGCTCCCCTTCCACTGACTAACTGAGAGAATACAGCATCATAAACCATGTAGCCTGATGAGCATCCAACCCATCCACCAAGGCAAGCAATACCGACTTTTGTCCACATTGAAGCAAATAGACCAAGAAGCATTCCTGCTAAACCACAGACGAAGAAGACAACCATATGAACCCAATCTGGTGTGAATGATGGGAGCACTATTGCATATAAGAATATCTACGAAAATATTTATCAACATTTCTTGTATAAACTTACCAAACTAGCAAAGGATGCTGCGAAGAAAGCAGCGATAAACAAAGTCACGGCCTAATATCTAGCCCCGAAGAATGTCATAAAGACACCAAGAACTAGTAAAAACACTCCAAATCCAATTGCTAGATCTTGGAAAGTTTTCCAGACCTTGCTGAATGATTTTGTAACACAACCTATTATTAAGTTTTAATATATTTGATAGGATACCAGCTTCGGATTCAAAGTATACTCTTGGATGGCAAATGCTTTTGGAAACGCTGTCATCTGAGACTCTAGGAATTGCGTGGTCACTATCTTCATCACACTTAATATCAATGGTAAATCCATAATTCTCTTTGTCGTTGCACTTTTCCTCACTTTCATAGTTCAATGAAAGTCCTGCTTCAGGTGCTTTGGAGTCAAAGTATTTAGCTTCTGACTCATCCATATCATCTTCAGTGAGTCTATGACATTTTCCATTTGGAAGTAGTAACACGGCGAAGGTCTCATCTCCTTAGCCCTCTCCTTCAAGTTTGCACTCTCTAGCAGTATTGGAGCAAAGATTAAAAAGTATTTAGTGAGAAGCTCCATTACTGGTGAAGTTAACGCTATAGTCTCCTTGGTCCCTAGTATATATAAGCTAGCGATTAAACTTACTTTGATCTTCTAATTGGGTTCAGATTCCAGATGTTTGCTTCAAGCTCAGCTGAGCAACCAACAACATTGGCAGTAGTGTATTAGACGAGTCCAATAGTTGCAATTAAAGTAAAAATGGTGGTCTTTTGATGTCTCATTTTCTTTATTAAAGATATTCTAATTTGCTATATTTCACTTAAAATTCTAAATATACAATGGCGGGGTTTTGGGGTTTTGGGGTTTTGGGG